TTTTTTTTATAACTTCAGAACTATTGCTCAATTAATAGAGAAAGAAGAACAGAAAAAAGAAGTACAGAACCAGCTAGTAGACAGAGAATATAAACTAACAAGTAAGTGGATTATTTAACACATTATCTATTTTTAATGTTTTGCATTGGGAAAAAAATCAAAGCATGAGTGGTTTCTTTGTTTTCTACTTTTCTCATTCTTCTAAACCATAAATCACATTAAAAACAGCTCTCCTTTTCTTGCCATAATATTTCACAAAAACAGGTTTAGTTAGATTGATCAAGTTAAAAAAACAAGACATTTTGTTGAAATCTGTGGGTAATAGGAAATGATTGCCCTTTTTAAAATAAAAAATTTTCAAGGAACATAACAGCAGGTGGCAGTACTAGGTAACTTTTAGTTATTAGCTTCTCAATAGTATATCTGTGAAAAGATCCACAAAAACATTTTTGTTCTAACTCACTTGCCTTAGAACACAGACACCTACCTATATAATTTTTTATAATTGTAGCTCTCCTTTTCTTTTTTAACCCTTAAGCTTTGAAGGTTGTCCTTCACCTCTTTAAAGTATATTTAGAACATAGGACAAGGGAAAAACATGGAGATTTAGTATTTTGTATAGAATACTGTCATATGAGAAGAGTTTCAAGGTATTCTTTATTCAGCAAATACTGTAAAATTTCCAGCAAGATGGTTCTTCATCTTCCTAGGTGTCTTTCTTTTGTTCTTATAATATTGCTACTAAACTTTTTCAGGGTATCGTCAGTATAAGACTTCTGAGTATAGGCCGGGCATGGTGGCTCACGCCTGTAATCCTAGCACTCTGGGAGGCCGAGGCAGGAAGATCACTTGAGCTCAAGAGTTCGAGTCCAGCCTGAGCAAGAATGAGACCCCATCTCTACTAAAATTAGAAAAATTAGCAGGGTGTCGTGGCACATGCCTGTAGTCCCAGCTACTGGGGAGGCTGAGGCAGGAGGATCCCTTGAGCCCAGAAGTTTGAGGTTGCTGTGAGCAAGGCTGATGCCACCACTGCACTCTAGCCAGGGCAACAGAGTGAGACTCTGTCTCAAAAAAAAAAAAAAAAAAAGACCTCTAAGTATATAGCTTACTGTTTGTTTGTTTTAAGATTTGCATCAAAAATCAAAAGTACAAGAAGAAAAGATTAAAGTTTTACAAAAGGAAAGGGAAGATAAGGAAGAAACTATTGATATCCTTAGAAAAGAGTTAAGCAGAACAGAACAAATAAGAAAAGAGTTGAGCATTAAGGTAAGAGTTCTCATTTGCCTTAAAATGAAGAAGTCTTTTTTGAAAGGGTTAATTTGAATAAATTAATGTTCTCTTTCTTTAGTAAATTTGTTCAGAAGATAATAGGATCTCGAAACAGTTTGAGTATCATTTGTTATGAGGGCTCTCTCTCAATGTGAAAACCTATATTTCCAAAAATCATTAAACATTTATTAAGTACATACTGTGTGTCAGCACTTACTGCTGTCAAAAGTATGAAGAATATAGAAAGGGATTCCTAGTTTTTGATGTTACATTCAGGTAGCTGTATATACGTGTATAGCCGTATCTCTGCTTATGGGAATGGTAGCAATAATAATAGTTCATATTTGTTTAGAACTTATAATTTGCAAAAGACTCTTTGAAACGTTTTTCTTAATTTTTACTTTAACAAATATTATATTAACATATAAATATTAATAAATATTTTCAACTTACAAATAAACTGAGTGTGAGGTTACTTGCTAAGATCACATAACTGATAAGTGGAACAATAGACATATTCTGAATCTAAGTCCAGTGTTCTTTCTACATTATCATGATGGCATAGCTTGAGTGGTAGCTATGAATTGTGCTTTTTGACCCATTTACCACCAGGAAGTTGAGAACAGAATAGGATTAAAAGACTGTTTGAGTTACTACAGAGCATGAGTAACAAAAGAGGTGTAAATTTAAAGCCACATTTACAGTTTTTCCACTTCTGCTTTAATGTGATTATCTTATTAGTGATTTTAAATAGCATTGTGCAGTATTTTCTGCAAAATTTCAGCTGCTAGCAGTGATTTCTAAAGACAAGTTCAATGTGTCTTCCCAATTTGTATATTTTTTAATGATTATTTAAACTTACCATATAATTTAATTAACTAAAATACAATACGTATGTATTTATAATGTGTCTTGAAATGGTTGTCATACAAATAAAGAACAAAAGCATCTTAAAATATCTGTGAAAAGAA